TAATGAGATAGGTCTCCGGATGCTTATAGGCGGGGCTGTTAGAGAGGCTTCAGTGCTTGGTTATCATGTTGTTCCACTTTTCTCTTACTACTCATATCATGGGCCTGTGTTTAGAGTGTTGCTACAAGTCAAGCGTGGAAAGTCTCCTTCTAGCAGGTTAAGCTTGGTTGTGAACTTTTCCAGGGGTATTTCATTAGTACTTGCTGATGATGCCCTTTCTTCTCATGATAGGTATTATAGTTTTATCAGCTATTGCAACCAATGTGGAAATTCTCAAGCATTTTCCTGGAATGAACTTGGTGAGATCAGCTGCCCTTGTAGTACAAATGTATGGTTTCTGCTTCATAGTATATCAATTTTGATATATTTACAACTAGAACTATTTAGCCTGTAGTTATCATTTTCCAATTTATTTGACAATTGACATCGACATGCGCAATCTACTAACTGCCATAGCCATTCCTGGTTGAAATTGTCATAAAATCATGCAAAAGGCTTTACTCCAGTCATGTCATTAAATGTATAATAACCATATGAATGAAATGGAGTTTGTTTCTGCATATGGTCACAAAGTATGATCATCAGGCTCATGTCTAACCATTACACTTCTTTTCAGGTTTCACGTTCACTTATGGTTTCAGGACCCCTCTGGACTGGGCCTCTTCACAATGCTCACCATCTAACAGAAATGATGAGTTTGGCTGAGCTGTGGGGATGGCTTGGTGATGGCGAAGGACAAAATCTAGAAAAACTATTGAAACTGATGATTGACGAGAGTGACCCCAAATTGCCAGTGGGATACCTCAATGCAGACGAGGTTCTTGCAAAACAATTTTTCTTCATATATTATTTCTTGATTGATTTGGATAATATGCCTAAATGTTTGGAATCATCATCAGGTTGCAACTTTCGTATCACATTAGTTATTGATTGTTTTTAGCGTATTCTGAACTTTAATTTATTTGTTTTATCACTTGCAGATAGCAAGCCGTGGTAAACTTAATTTGCCTCCCCTGAGTGCGATAATGAACAGCCTGTACGAGGTATGTTATCACTCTAGGTTTTCATGGAGGGTTTAATGTTCTTTTTCTTGGATCGAAATTTTGCTTTTCCATATTGAGCTCTAAATATAATGACTTCATTATTACGCAACAGTTAGCTCCTTTGTTGATACTGAAGGTTTATAGAAAGGTAGTTTGACACACTTGACCTTGTAAACTTTAATAGGTGTTAGCCATTAAAAATGTAAAAAGAAATGAGAAAGAAAGAGTCATTTCTGTAGGTACTGAAATATTTGACCAGAGGACTTGTTATGTTTCCCCAGTCCAAAACAAATTGAACAAAACAGTGTTCGCGCCTAGCAGCTGGCCCACTGGCAGAAAAGCGACATACTTGATAAACACCTCTGGTAGAAAATAAAAGTAGTACGTCAATATTAATTTATAGTAACTTTTACATATATGAAAACCTCTTAAAATAATTTGCATTTTACTGATAATTTTTCCAAAAAACAAATCCAAAACCAATTCTCTCAAAGTTAAACAAAAAAGCAGCTTGTTTCTTAACTCAAACACCAGCTAAGTTTCATGAAACTGTAAACTTGGTATACATACTTCCATAAGCAAGCATTTTCTTTAATACTTGATGGGCAAAAATCATTCTGCTCATTTTGAGGCTGCTTTAAACTTCAAACTGTTCCGAAGTTGACTGTCCTAGCTTCACATGTCATTGTCTGGACTAAGTAAATTTCATTTCCATCAACTAAGTTGGGTCTAAACAGTGATTAAAAAAGCGCGCGCTTCCTCGCTTTAAGCGAGAAGCGATGCGAAGCGACTCAGTGCCCGGTATAAAAAGCGACCGCTTCCCACTAAAAAGCGAGAAGTGACCAAGTGATGCGATGCGAAGGAAGCAACCGCTTCTTTGTTTTTAAAGAGACCCAGGCTATTTAATTAAAAACGAAACTGTTTTGTCTTTTATTTAACGAACAACAGCGACTAGGGTTTTAAAGCAGAGCATCTGAGAGCATTAGACTAGGGTTCTTCTTCTTCTTCAACTTCAACTTCAAGTTCAAGTCTCCTCCTTCTTCTCCTCCTCCTCCTCCTTCTTCTTTCACTGTTTCAACGTCCTAATAGCAGCGAAATGCTGGCGATTTTTTTTTTTTTACCTTCGGTTCTTTCTCAGAATTGATGCCAATCCTTGGGTTCTTCTTTCTCTGCCCAGTTTTTAACAGAGAAAAACTGCCCTTCCTCTAATTTTTATATCCTTTACATTGAAATATTGAACATTTGCTTACAATTACATGTGTTGTCTATGCAGTATTTATTTTAATTTTTTTTTTAACATTCCGCTTCACTTCAATAAAAGCGAGCGCTTCGCTTCTCGCTTTAAGCGAAATGGGGGTTGTCGCTTTTCCTCGCTTCACGCTCTTCACAACACTGGGTCTAACTATCAAAATGCATGTAAAATACAAAAGTAGACAAAAATATTTTATGTATTTATGTGCAATTTTCAGTAATAATATCTTATGAAGCATGATTAGAACTCAGAGACAATTTATTATTGGGGTTTAATTATTTTAATGTAATCTAGGCAGGTAACAAACTTAAATTGTCATTTGCTTACTTGAGTATCTACCACAAAGAATATATAATGCTTGCGCGTGTTGCTTTGAGAATTTACAAATCCTTTCAATTAATTTATGAACCTTTTCAATTAATTCAAATAAATAAAAATGAAAACATTGAACTGATAATAAATTCTTTGTGGTAGTTCAGTTTGAAATTTCTAATGTGCAGATGACATTTAATTCATGGTAATGAAGCATCTGAAGTACAAGAAAGATTTGTTTTTAAAAGTTTTTCCCTTTAAAATAAACTGAACTATAGTTTGGGGGTACTTGTGTTGCCCATTTTAAAATGGTTAAACAAATTTATGCTATTTGTATTCTTTTTTAAGGTAGTAAACCATCTTATACATATGAACTTATTACAGTTTATTCGTTGTATCTCAATATGCTAATAGTATTCTTAATATAATGCTGTAAACCACTTATACATACGATAATGTCAAAATCAAATATCATCAACATAAGAAAAGTCAATGTTAAATAGAATCTGGGTGGACTTCTATATTTAAACTCAATGTTTTAATAAAAATTGATCTTTAATTATCCCCCGATTCATTTCGGATCCAACTTCTATTTATAAAAAAAAGAAATTGATCTTCAATTGAGTAAAATAAGAATGATGGATGATGGTCTTAATGCAAATTTCTAGGGGTCAACTGCCATATAAACATCTAGGTGGAGTGATGAGTTGTGCAGGATGTCTTTTATTCAGACGTCGGGGAAAAGGTGGTTTTTCCCATAAATAAATGGTGTTTGCATGGAAACCTTCCCTAGGCTGATTTTATGCCAATATCCTGTTCTGCTTATCCCTCGGGTGACTTTATGCAAATATCCTGTTCTGCTCCCAAGTCTTTGTGAATAAACACCTATCTACTCTTGTTTTCTTATCTGTTCATTTGGTGGGAGTTTGAAGACATATTCTATATACTCAAAACATTATTGATGGAGTAATTGCATGTCATTCTGCTGCCGCCTCAGTGGATAAGGATAATTTCCTTGCTCTTTGCCCCCCTAAATATACTTGTTTCAACTGTTAGACATAAGATTAACATCATTATTTTGGAGGGCTTAATTACAGGAAGGCTATGCTGTTAGCAGATCACATATTGCCTCAAATGCGATTAAAACAGACTGCCCGATGGTTGACTGTGTTAGAATCGTGAAGCAACTCCAACAGCCTGCTGAAATGAGTTCATGCCATTAAAATTCATGGATGCTGTGTGTGAAGCGAGTTTTCAATACTGTTATAAAAGGACCAGTTTTTCAAAATGAAGAACCACACAACTAAATAGTTGCTATCACAAAAATTTGCGAGCACTTGCTTCCTATGAAGAGCAATACAGAAAGCTTGGAGGTTGCTGATCCAACCACAGTTTTGGTTTAACTAGGCAGAGCTTTGCTAAATCTTCGTTTATAGGATGCTTATGCTTTTGCCGCTGGGGGCAGAGGGTTGGTGTATAGAGAAATATGTGGCAGCACTTTCTAGTTGCGAGCTGAAACAACTTTTGTTTCTCTTGCTTGTTGTAGCACAAATTTTTGAGTATTGAAATGAAATAGATCCAAGTGAAGCGAAATAAATTTGGACTGATTCATATTAGCCGCCAGTTTGTATTGAAATGTATTGTTGCTTGTTGATCAGAGCAATGACTGCCTACAGATCCATTACCCTAATAACCTAGCCGACATCATCCTTAAGTCATGATGATAAGATCATTAATGTGTTCCACAATATCATCTCCAGGTTATTCTTAGTTTTCTTGGAGTTCTCTAATGCTGACGGAAGTTGAATCAAAGACCTGTTACACTGACTTTCTTGACCCAGAAGAACAGGAACATCGTTGCTCTCTTGCACTGGACATTGTGGATGGTATTCAGTACCCCTTGTGATGAAGGATCGTGGTTGCTACCTAAAGGAGAAAAAAATTGAATTGTGTTGGAAACGCTCTCCGGTAACAGATGTGGAAATTTTACAGCAGATTTAAGACTTGTCAGTTCTGACATTCTCAATCACAATGGTAAATTGTTCAGTTCCACTTTCACGACTGGTTCTTCAGCTATACATATGCCAACTCCTGCTTTCCTAACCATAGCCGAGGGTCTTGTAAGTTTGTAATTTTTCTACAAAACCACCAACATAGATTGGTTTACACCCCCTGTACCACACCTAAGAAAATAACTTCAATAATACTCCACTACCCAAAATTGCAAGGATCAACTTGCTTAGTATATAATGCTTTAATTAACATGATCACCTCGAATCTAAAGGTTGCAGTTAATATGATCGTGGTAAAAGTAGCATATTAAATCTCTGGATTTTAGACACAAGAAAGGCCGCTTAATGCAGGAGATTTTTCAACTCAGAAGCCAAAAACTATAGGTTGCGGAAAAATTGGACTTGTTCAAGTAATACATTAAATCAATCTGAATACACAGAAGAGGCTGCTAAGACAGATGCTCTGTAAACCCAGCAACGGCTTTTACAAGTGATACTATTTGGATAAACTGATATCCAAAGAGTTGCGCTCAAACGATAGAGTAGTTTTATTTAGGCTCCATATATCAAGTACATACATCAACCTTTTCCAGAAATACATCAAGTACATCAACCAGCGACTACACATAAGAAAAACAGGACACCTGCTCATGTCACTCAGCCTTATTTCCCATCAAAAAGTTTTACAGACATGTCCTCAAAACAGCATCAAATATCCCTGTTCAAGGACATTCTTTCTCATAAACTTCATTTGCATATTTCCAGTTCATAACTTTCCATATGTTCTTCAGATAATCAGGTCTTACATTTTTGTACTGCATCACAAAAGGCAAAGGTAAGGTATTAGTTAAATTTAATAACAAGAATGCTTGAATTTGAATAAAAAGTCCAGACCACATAAAAAATGGCTTTCAAACACATCTATTTCCATAAAAATTCAATACATTCATGCAAAGAAGCTCATTCATCCTTACTGTTAAGCCTGCCTCTTTTCAGCTGTATGCAATATATAAAGATCAAGAGCATCTAATTAACTGCTATCCAAGCGAAAGGAGAAAATCTTACTTGGAACAATTAGCAATGTCATTGTCAACCATGATTCAGAATAAAAACATTGGTAGTAGCATGGATAGCTTCATAGCATTGTGGACATATCATGTTTGGTGTATTAAAGCACTGTAACTTTATAATAAAAATACCTGTAAGTAGTATGCATGTTCCCAAACGTCTATTCCCAGAAGAGGAACCAAATTTGCTCCTTTAGAAACCAATGGGTCCTGGCAAGAAAAAATGAGCCCTATCATAAGCAACCTGGTTGATAGGCAACCTGACAAGCAACAATTACTGAAACATTTGCCAACTTTCTTATGCAATCCTAACATATAAAAGGATTGACAAAATAAAGACCTATCTACACAGTACATGCCTGTGCTGTATGTTGCAGATTGCAGAATGCTGACAAGCCAAGGATGTGGGAGAATGCAAACTAATCCTAAAGGATCGGTCAAACAAGTTCATTAAACTAATAGGAATCTCAGCTGATGCAAAGACGGTATTTAACATAAAAAAAAATCCATCTCTTGATTAGGGGAGCTGATAATAATGAAAGGTCGGATTATTTAGGCTGCAGTTTTGAAGACCATCTTGTGGATCAAGAAATTATCAGTCTTATGCCTTTTCTTTTCACTATTTCTTGGATAATAACCTCTGAGTTAAGGCAACAAAGTGGAAGAATCAACTTCACTTGTTGAAGATGACACTCATCAATTCATTAATTTAGCAGAAATAAACATGCATAAATCACCTGATTAGCAGTGGTTTCAATCACCAGGCGCTTAAGCTCTTTGTCCACACCAAGCCACTGCAAACACAAACGCAGGCTCAAGAAGAAATAAAGGTGCAATCAAAAGCTTGATTTTCAAAGACCTAAGCTGACCAACAAAGTCCCAAGAAAAGGATGTGAGACCTACCACCCAGCCAGAGCCCTGTAAAGCAGCACCTTCTGCATTCATCTTTTGAACTAAAGCTTCTAGGGAGCCAAAGTTAGTGTCGATAGCCCAACCAAGAGAACCCTTTGGAGGCTCACCACCACCCTCCTGCAATATGATTTAGCAGTTATGTCATTTCCCCTCAAAGTAGAACAATAAGTTTACTGAGGAAGCAAGCTTACGCGGACAGGGGCAAGATTCTTCCAGAAAATCGAGTGGTTAATGTGACCTGCAGGAAAAGTAAAAAAACAGAAAACTATCAGCTAGGATAAAAGAGTGATTATTATGAAATCATCGCATAGACACATGAATGGGCTTCAACAAAGCACAAATGCAAATCATGATGCATGTTGCCACAGAGAGCGCAGAAATGAGATGAGGAAAACAGCAACATAGTTCCAGGCTGAACAACAGCTTAATTAACTCGAGGCAATCCAATGCTTTTCTTCTGGACCATCATAATTCCCCTCATACATCTATAACTCACTAATTTTTCTAGATATAGTGTTATCAAAGGCGAAAATCGCAAAAAAGCTCTGAGGTCTGTTGGGGCTTTAAGCGCAAATAAAGCGTGGGCTTTAATAAAGAAAGGCGCAAATAGAGAAAAACTATAAATATGTATCTGTAGTCCAAGGCTAATATCTATAATCATGAATACCAAATATATGGACAAAGAAATTGAAGAAAATTTACGAGAAAGTGAAATATCGACTGTTTAGTGTCGCATCTTCCGGATTACGCTCGTTAGCAAGGAAAAGCATGCCTTAGAGCTTTGATGACAACAGTGAAGCGCCCGTTAAGCGAGGCGATGCGCTCAACACGTTTTGAGCCTCGCTTCAAGGCTTAAGCGCGCCTTTGATAACACTGTCTAGATATTTACCAATTTCTCATTTTCTGCAGCAAAAAAGACCATTTCGGCATTCATTTAACATCATCTCCACAATTAGAATTAATATTTGTAATAATATCAGCCATCGGCAATGATAATTTCATTCAAACTGACATCAATCGCCAAAAGCCAAAAGGTGATTCATTCTAAGATCTTCTCATCAAACTGCTACAACTAATTCCTCCGAGCATAATTCAATATGACATAAACAACCACCTAATTTCTTTTAATTCTTTTAAATCCTACGACGATTAATCTCTCATACTCCAGTTCACTTCAAATCCAATTTTATCTCGAACAAATTAAAAAATACGACAAATCAATTAAATTCCACAAACAATGAATTATTCAGTAGATAAATAATGAAAGAGAGAGAAATTGACCTCCGCCGTTGAATTTGATAGCGGTATGCAATTTGGCGACGGTAGGAGCATCTCCTTTGGAAATGGCGTCATGTAGCTGTTCAAGGGCTTTATTGTAATTGGTGACGTAAGTCTGATGATGCTTCTGGTGGTGGAGCTGCATTATGTCACCGCTAATTGCCGGCTCCAGTGCTCCATAGTCGTAGGGGAGATCGGGGAGCGAAAAGGTCTGGAAGCCGTGGAGTTGCTGGCGGAACCCTAGCCCTGTTGCTAAGGTCCGTCTGCTCACTAGGGTTCGTAGTGCCATTTTTGAGATATTCCTAAATGCTTTCTGCCTGTTAACTCTACGGTGTCCTTTTATAGTTACAGGTAGGGGTGTACTTTGGTTCGTATTTTGCAATTACCAAACCAAATCAATTGCTTATTAAATCTAAAGATCAAACCAAATCAATAAAATTTGGGTTTTTCAATCTCGACTTTTCTCGAGTTTTCGGGTTTTTCGGGGTTTTTTTGGTAAAATCTTCGTAGCACAAAACATATAACTTATGCTCAAATATTTCTTTAATCCTAGTAACATACAACTATATAAGGTATTTTTCAAGAAAATAATACAAAATATGAGATGTGTCATGACATTATCCTAAAATATTCAACAATAAAGACAATAAAATTATGTAATATAAATATTGTAATTTGAAAGCCATAATAAAAATAAACATAATCTAAAAGTACTAAGTCATGGTAAAATAAGTAGACTAATAAAAGAATATTAATTACATGACTAAACGCTAAAGAAAAAATAAAAATAAATTATGCATTTTTATCTAAATTATTGCAAAACAAAAAATAGATATTCAATACATCGTCGTTCGTATTATTGAATTGAATGTCTTTTGTTAGCATTAGTATTGATTTGATTTTGGTTTGGGCTTTTGTTAGCATTATTTAAGTTACTAATATTAATGGCTATTAAACTTAGGGATTAGAACATTCAAAAGTTTTAAATCCAACCTTAAAATAATACCTTAAAAGATAAAATTATGAAAAAGTTTAAGAAATATTTATAAATTACATCACAATAAATATATTTATATATTAAATATATCTAAAAAATTTATATATGTAATGTCGGGTTGGTTTGGTTTCGGTTTGACTTTCTTTAATTAAAACCAAACC